ACGCTGCTTCTTAGATTTCCTAAAGAAAAACAGATCATTTCCTGTTACACCTTTGGTCCAGCCCTCTCTCCTGAACTGGAGACACGCATCCTCCGGGAAGCTCTCCATCTCCACCCGACGGCTCTCTCCAACTGAACGCGTTAAGAACCCAACTCCTGGTTTCTCCTCTGGGCCAGCTCCTGCACGTGGCCTGTCTCAGCACATGCTGACTTCTGTCTTCCCGGGGCTAAGGGCCCAAGCCATGGCGCCGCACAGCCCACAGCCAGACCTCTAGTCTGTCCCCTGAGCACCACCTTCAAAACATCTGGGACCCGGCCGCCTGTCACCTCCTCCGCTGGTTGAAGCCGCCACGCCTCCCCTGGATTACTGCAGGGGCCCTGGGCTTGGCAGCCCAGCTGAGCCTGCGCAGTGGTCTTCCCAGTCCCACTGCCCCTCCGTCCCTTCCTTCCCGCTCTGCTCTCACGCCACCTCCTTGGGGAGTCCTCCCTCGGTCCCTCCGGACACCCCGTACAGAAAGCAGCCTCAGTAGCTCCAGAAGAGGAAACATCTGCTTGCTGTCTGTCTCCCCACATTCCACTGTCAGCTCCTGGGGACCCGGGAGTGTCTCTCCCAGCACCCAGGGCTGGGCCTGGTGCACAGCAGCCTGAGCAAACATCATGGGATGCACGCGCCCAGGTGTTTCAGGTTCAGACCTCTCCTTGGGCTCTGCAGCAACAGGAGCCCCCGGGGATGAGACCACGGGCTCTGCCTTAAGGAGGTGACCATCCTCCGGGGGTCTCGGGGGTACCCCATCACCCCCACGCTCTACCCTGGTGCTCTCCACAGCCCTCTGAGCCCTAACATGCGCCCGTGTACTGGGGATTGATGGCATTCGATGGTATTAAAAACAAAATCAAACAGCATGTTAGGAATTCATGGTGAGTACGTGCTGAGCAGGAAGAGACCCGTCAGGGGAAAAATGACTGGATGCCTTTCATTCAAGCCGCCCTGAGGTTAGATTTTTGAGTTCCGGCACATGCCAGCCTTCCTTCCTGAGCCTCAAGCGCATCTGTAAAATGGGACAGCAGCGCAGCCCGCGGCGCAGGGGTGACGAGAGGAGGGTGTGCATTAAGGCCCCGAGTGGGGCCAGGCTCTCCTGCGAGCACGTGCCTCCCCGCCGCCCTGGGCAGGAGAGCTCAAGGCAGGTTGGAACTCGGGCTTCCCGCTACCCGGAGCTGGGCGTGAGTCCCGGGGCCAGCCCATTGTGCCGTGTCACCTGGGAATGTCGCCTCCCCCTTGGAGGCTCCACTTCTGTACAATCTCGTAAACTTACCTCCCACAGCTGCTGGGAGGACAAAGTTGGCGTTCGTTCCTTCATCACATATTTACCAAACACTTCCTGCCCGAGAGGCACAGAAGATGCGGTGCACAGGGAACAGGCATGGACCCTGCCCTCCTGGGGCTGACAACCCCAGGAGGGAGGACAGACACGAAACCACGACACAGACAACCATTTACAGCTGTGACAGGGGCCAGGGAGGCGCTTAGGTGTTACGAGGGCATCCGACAGGGGGGGCTGGCTTGTCTGGCGTAGGGTTTGGAAAAGTCAGCTAGCGGAAGGTGCCTATTTCAGTGGCTGGGGCAAGATGGGAGAACAAATTTATTATTTAGCCAGGATTCTATTAATCTGTTATTATTAATACTGCTGAAAAAAATGATCACATGTTATTAGCGAAGCTCAGCAAAGAGAACCAGAGAGGCTTTTTCGTGGGAGGGGAGCGCGTTTCATTTCTGCAAGGCGTACCAAAGTGTTAAAGTCATTTTCATTAAAATGCAAACTTCAGCAGGCGCTCACTCTCCCTTCGCCGTCCTTTGAACGTTTGACTGGCAACCATTTCATATTTCAATCTCGGCAGAACAAATTGAATTAGATGTTGAAACCAAACTCGGCTCTGTTCACCAAAGCCTCCATGCTCGGCTTGCACTAATCCTTTCCTAGATGCTGCAGAGCACAGACAGGCGCTGGGAGGGACGGGCCCCGCCACAAAAGACAAAAGAGCCCAAGGAGGCGGTAAAAGGAAAGGAGGAAAAACACGGGGGCAAAGGCCGCTGGAAATTGTCTTCTGCCTGATTCTCGGGTCTTCAAGCCCAGGAGACAAACTCCCGTGTGGATCCAGCGTTTCTGTCCCTGTATTCCTGGCACCCAGCACAGTGCCAAGTGCAGAGGGATGCCTAGTGTTCGATGGACGAATGAATGAATGATTGGGGGTGAGGATTAGCCGTTGGCTTTGAGGACTTAACTCCGCCACCCTCTCTCTGCCTCTGGCCTGTGCCGTGCCCCCCCTTTCCTTTCTGAGACACCGCAAGATGCCTGGCACCCTCCCAGGGTCAAGGTGCTTCCGCTGGGACCTGGGCTCACTCCAGTCCTGTGATCTTCCACACCAGCCCCTGCAGAGCGTGCAAACCAGCTGGAGGATGCCAGCTCGCGTTTCCCAGGGAGGAAGGGGGCAGACCTCACACCCTGGGATCACCCCATGGCTGAGGGTCTGTGGAATGGCCTACAAGCGCTGACACAAGGGCCCGAGCCTGACTTCCCGTCTACTGTGGCAATGGCATTGGTGCCCACGGGTAACCCCAGGATGGAAAGGGTTAGGAATAAGCACAGCAACACCGGTCGTTTCTGGGGGAGGGGCTCACTTATTTCCCAACTGCACCACGGCAACCGTGGGCCCATCCTGAGTCTGGCTTTGGCTTCATATGAGGAGCAACTGGGTAAACCACGTCTCTGCTTGGCCTGCTCGGGGGCTGCTGGGCAGAGGTCACTCCCTCCAGGCTGCCTTCCTGGATACACGGGCTCCTTTCCACCACGACCCACCTCAGAATGCTCGTGCTTCCTCAGGTGCGACCTTCGTGCTTTATTTCTGGAGTTTCTCTCCTACGTCTTCTGGTGGTTTGGGACCTCTGACGTCCCATCATCATTTGAACTCACCTGAAGCCCCTCCCCGAAAGCTCCCCCCGTGCCCCACTGCTCTGGTGACAACAGTGACCGCCAATCTCCGCAGGGCCTTGTCTCCAAGGCCCGGAGTCTCCCCAGTTCACCCGGCACACACTGGGTGGAGGCTTTTCTTCTGAAATGCTTTCACACAGTCCCTCTTCCTCAAAGGGGGAAAGGCGGGCCCTCCTCTGGGCCAGGCTAAAGACCTGGCTTTATTTTATTATTACCTAGCTATACTTCTTATTCCAGAATACCAATAATAATGACGATGGTGATTATCATAATAAAAATGACGAGAGCTTTAGTAGTTCCTATTTAAAGAGTTACTTTCAAAGGGGTGGGGGACAGGGCTCAGGGTTACTGAGACACTTGTTCAGCCTCCAGGCGCCAGGTGCTGTGACTGAAACGAACAGGGACAGGATCGGCTGAGGACGACATGGGGGCAGGGGCTGGGCATGGAGAGGAACAGAACGTGGCTACTTTCCATAAGGTGGTCGGGGCTGTCTCTCTGAGGAAGGGAGGGAAGCTTAAACGAAGATCTCAGAGTGGCTGGTGGAGGTGGGGGAAGGAAACAGGAAGAAAGCGGGGGAAGGGTGTCCCAGGCAGAGCAAAGAGCAAGTGCAAAGGCCCTGGGGTGGGACTGGGCTGTAAAGGCCGGAGAGCAGTAAGTGAGGGGCAGGGTCAGGGGAGGCAGGGCCTTCTTGCTCGTCGTGGTGAAGAGTGTGGTTGTACTCCAAGTGTGCACATGGGGGCAGGGCCGAAGGGTTTTAAACTACATTCCCCATGATCCAGCTCATGGCTGCACGTGGAGAATGCAGTGCTCCTGGGGCAGCGTGGAGTCTGCTATGGGCGTTGGTGAGGGCCAGGTGTGGCACGAAGGTGGGGTGACGGGGTACCCCCCCCGGGATCTCTAGGGGAGTTGAAGTGACTGCTTCTATTTGCTTACCGGGGTGCCCTTCCCCCAACAGACAGTAAGCCCCCAGAGTTGGGGGTACAGACACCAGGCTGGGACGGGCAGGCAGGAGGGAAGGGGCCACAGTCTCCCTGCGTGCAGCTGGCTGAGTGGCTGGTGGTTTTCCTGCCTGCTGCTCCCTCAGGCCATCGGCTTCACGACCCCCTCGCTCCTCTGCTGGTCCTGAGCTTTCTCTGGGCTTGGGCCGGGGCTTGCTTGCTTTTTCTTTTGGACACAGGGAAGACAGTAAAGCATGAAGGTCAAGAAAGACCCGAGGCCCTGGGGTCAGATTCACCTCCTGCAGGTGCCTGAAGCTCTCTGGGCCTCACAATACCCCCGGTATATGGAGGTGCTGTTAGCACCATCCCATTTTAAAGATGAGAAGACTGAGGAATCGAAGGTTAAGTCACTGGCCCACGCTCACAAGGCTGGCGAGTGGTGGATGTTACCAGGAACCCAGAATGGTCTGAATGCAGAGCCCGAGCTGGCATGGCAACACCAGTAGGTGGTGAATTCCAATCTGGGGACATTCTAGTACCTTCAGTGAAGTCGGTGCCAATGTCGCCTCTTCCCGTGCCAGGCCCACGGGTCTGCAATCTTCTTTAACCAGAAGAATCCACATGGCCCTTAACGGGACAAGCAGTGGGGAGGGAGGGGGTGGACCCCAGCCCTGTCATCCCTGGGATCCACGGAAACTTGGGAGCCTGGTCATCCGAGGGACCCCACAGAGGCTCTATGGTCTGATGTCGGAGAGACACCTCACTATAAAAGCTGGGAATGAGCCACTCCGGGTCTGTGTCTTTTGCTTCCATTATGTCCCAGGGATAACCTAGGATGGATTAGGAAGCACCTGCCCCCCAGGGAACTGGGGACACGCCCAGCCTTGCAGGACTGTCAGCGCTGTGTGGTCTTGCTTGGATTCCAGGCCACTCCGAAAACTGCTTGGTGTGGACTGAAACCTCCTCCCAGAAAAATACACAGACCAAATTTTACACAGCAAGTCAGAAGATCCCTGGGCTCTCACTCGGGGCCCCCAGCTGCCCAAATGAAGAAGGAAACAAAAACGCTGACGAGTGCTTGCTCTGGGCTTTACTTGGATTGGCTGATGTAGTCCGAGCACTGTCTCTGAGGTAGGTACAAGATCACCCCCATTTTATAGAAAGAGAAGCTGAGGGTCAGAGGGGACCTCGCCGGTCCAAAGTCACACAGCTGGGGTTCAGACCCAGGGCAGACGGGTTATAGCTCTTTCCTCTCTACCATCCGCCTCCTGGTGTGTGCTGGGTGTGAATCTCCAGGCGGGAGTAGATGTGGGCACCCCAGGTCTGGGATGAGCCTTGGGACACTGCTTGCCAGGGCTAGGGACCTGTTTGCATTTCACAGGGTCCCCAGCCTGTGAGTAGAGGGCGTCTGCCGTTAGCGACACAGCCGGGCTCAACCAATGAGCCAGTGTCTGGGTTTGGGGCTTGGTGCTTCGTGAGTGGCCCCGTGGTCAGCGCGGATGGAAGACGCTCTGGTGACTGAACCAGGGCCCATGGTCCCAAGTGGCGAGGAGGGGGCAGGACAGAGGCCACATCCCAGGCTGTGAGCAGTCCCTTGGAGAGATGGAGGCAGGAACTCCAGCTTAGCAGCCCTGGAGGGGGAGCGAGAACAGAAGCTTCTGGAGCCCGCCTTACACGCTCAGCACTGTTCCTGGCGTTCTTCATGATTATTACATTTCTTTCTCGCTAAAGCCCTCTGAGGTGGGAACCAGTTAGTGAGGAGGCTGGGCCCTGGGAGGTGAGCTGACTTGGCAGGGTCCCCAGTCTGTGTTGGGTGGAGCGGGGCTTCATGCCCAAAGCGCCCAACTCCAGAGAGCTGCCTTCAGCCTGGTGAGTGTTCCGGGCTCGTGGGCAGTGGGGCCTGAGGGTCCTTGCGCCCATGTAGCTGCGCACCCCGGTGCAAGCCCTGAAGTCCCTCTGCAACCCGGCCTTCGTGCCAGCATGGTGGGGCCCTGTCTGCATCTCAGGGTTGCTGGGAGGAGAAGCAAGAGGGGGAACTTGTGCGGGGACCACCAATGGCTGGGCTGGACGCAGGGCTCGGTGGTTTCTGCCACTTCCAGATCCTCGTGCTGCCACGAGGGGCTGCCCGGCGCGGTGGCATCCTGCGCCTGTTCTCTGGCCCTGCAGTGCCGGGCAGAGAGCAGGCGCAGTCAGTGCCTGGGGCCCGGGATGCCCGGGCAGTGGGCTGAGGCCATCGTCCCCTCCGACCTTGGACCAGTGGAGGGCGGGGCTGCCTGCTGCTGCTGCCCCACCGGGTGGTGCGGCCCGCCTGGCCCCTGTGGTAGGGGGTGCAGAGCCGGAGCGGCTGTGCCCGGTCCCCAGGGCTCTGGAGCCACGTACCCTCGGCGCCAGCTCACGGCTGAAGGGTCTGCTCGTCACCGCCGTCCTCACTGTCTTCCAGCTGCTCCAGGATCTCGTCCAACACCACAGACCGCTTTTTCTTCGGGGGTTCTGCGGGAGCCCAGATGGCAAGAGAGGAGAAAAGAACAGCCGAGAGGGTTGGGAGTCAGGAAGAGAGAGACGACAGAGAGGGAGAGGGAAGGGGAGAGCAAACAGGGAGCGGGGGAAGGGGATTCAGGAAGGCACAGAGGGAAGGGGTGGGAGGTAGGAGAGCAGGTACAGACCCGGGGTGGGGGGGGGATGAGACAGAAGAAATAAGCAAAGACAAGAAAGGGGGGAAGGAGCATCAAAGGAGATATGAGAAAGGGGAAGAGAGCACAGAGCGGGAGACAGAGAAACACGGAGGCTTAGTCTCTACTTCACCAGGGGGCAGCCTCTCTCCCAGCCCTGTCGGCCACCCCTGCCCATCTTCCACCCACAGAGGAAAGAAGGGAGGAAGGCCTTTCCTGGCAGGTCAGAGGTTAGCGAATCTCTGCCTGATGTAGGGGGAGCCAGAACCTCCAGAGAGGCCAAGTCAAGCGAGGGCAGGGGCTGGGAAACAAGTCCCTGTTCTCTCGGAGTCGCAGACTCTTAATGGTATAGTAAGTGGCTGGCATACAGTAGGTGTTTAGTAAATGCTGGGTGACTAGATGCTCAAGGACTCCAGATGAGGCATGGAGGGAAAAACAATTAGAGATGGCTTTAGAGAAGAGGGGCTATTTGACCTGGGCTTTGAAGAATGCAGAGGAGTTCTCTGTGAGGAGACGGGGAAGGGGAGGTACATGCACAGTGTGAAAGGGCATGGTGGGCTCGGCAAAATATATGTCCCCAGGGTGCCAAACACTATTGATTATCTGCTCTGTGCTATGGCTCTTATCTTCTCAACAATACCATGGGGAGGTATTATTATTACCTCTCACAGCTGAGAGCACTGAAGCAAAGACAGGTAAGTCTAAGGTCACTCAGCTAGGAAGTGGTGAAACCAGGACCCAAGACACACCAAAGCCCACCGTCTTTCCTCTTTTCATAAAAGTCTGAGGTGCTGCCCAGAGACTGCCAGGGAGACAAAGGGTGGAGGGGGGAGGTGTGCTGGTCCTCTCAGCCCTCCAGGAAGGGCGTGGGGTGGGGGGGGGGCGGGGAAGGCTCTGGGCTTAGATTGACTCTGTCAGTCCCTCTGCTGTCTAACCAGTCATTCATGGCCAGCCTCACCCCCACATAACGCTGGGCTTGTTTTGAGGCAGCTGTTGGATGCTGTCCCAATAGCCTCTCCTTCCCTGGTTCAAACAACACCTCCTCTGTGAAGTCCTCCGGGTGGGACAAATTGTCACTGCGATCCTTAGCTGCCATCTCCCCACTGGGTCTGGGGCTCCTGCAGGCAGCGGGTCTCCCCAGAGCCCAGCCCAACGCTCGCCCTCGAGATGCAGCATCTTGGGTCTCTTCCAGGTGGTCTTGGACAAGTGACTTGACCTCTTTGAGGCTATTTCTTCATCTCATTCCTAAGAACCTGACCCGGACGCTGACCCTTCTCCTCTTCTCCGCGGCTAACTGCCTGACCTGAGCCCTCGCACCTTCTCAGCGGACTCTGCTTCCGCCCTCACCCTCAGGGCCACCTATTCCCCCCCCAACAGTAGCCCGAGGGATCCTTCCAGGACAGGCTCTCCTGCTCCGCTCCGGGAGCTCTCCGTGGTCATCTCCAGGCACTCCCTGGGCCGGGCCCTCCCAGGCCCGCGAAGTGCGCTCCCACCCGGAGACCCCTGCTCCCACGTCCCCTCCTCAGAGAGGACTCCCCTGGCCGCTGTCTACAGGTCCCCGCTCTCCAACCCCACCTCGCTCCATAGCACTTCTCACCACCCGGCGGGCGCTTCTTCGTTTGGGGACAGAGCTATCCTGTTCACGGCCGTGTCCCCTGCCTTAGTGCACTGCCTGGCACCTAGTGGGTGCCTGTGAGCAGCTGTTGAACGAGGGGATGAGCGAATGGGGCAGAAAGGGGGGACGCGGAGGGGCTGGCCCCTAGGGGAGGGTGAGGAAGGGGTGGGAGGCCCGCCCGGCCGGAGCCTCAGGCCATCATCACCATGTTGTTAGTCATGAGGAGGGAGGGGGACAGGAGGGGCTGGGGCGGACAGCTGCTTCCTTCGCCCCCGCCGCCCCCTCTGGGTTTCCAAATAATTGCCGGAAGTGCGCAACTGTCTCTGGAACTTGGACCTTTGGGCAGGTAGTAGGAGCCGGGAAACAGAAGGGTGGCAAAATAGGACCTGCGGGCCTGTGACTGACGCCCCCCCCCCCCCAGAGGCTAACGATGGGGATAGGTTTGAGCTCCTGGGGCGGCTGGTCCCTGCTCTCCTGGGCTGGCCTGGGGCCCGAGGGGGCGGCCAGTGGAGCAGTAGCCACGATGGTGGCAGCTACCGCTTTCACTTTGGCAGAATTTTTGTTCTTTCCCACGGCTTGAGCATGACTCTGAGACTGGCAAGGGGGCAGGTGCCAGGCACACGGGTGGCTCTTACCCAGCTGGCCCAGGAGCACCGCGCAGGCGGTGACTGGGATGTGAACTCCGGGTGCCCCCAGTGGCCAGCACAGGGCACCCCCTGGGCACCAGCCCACCTCGGGGACCTTTCAGAGAAGCACGGCCCAGGGTCACCAGGGGCCTGGCCAGCTCCGAGGGCCTCTCTGTCACCGGAACATCCCGAGTGCTGCACTGGCCTGGCTCCACCACACTGTGAGCCAGACTGCAAGAGACCGTCCCAGGACTCAGCACACAGTAGGTGCTCTGTCATCATTTGTTGAACATAAAAATGATGAATGAATGATTGAGTGAATGAATAAAAAGGGGCACCAATGTGGGTAACTTTTAAAAAGTAAAACTGCAGTTGTCGGGACAGCAAACAAACAAATGGAGTGGTGGGAAGAGAGGCACCACGACTGGGGAAACTGAGGCCCAGAGGGAGGGGCGACATAGCTGGAAGAGGAAACACACAGGACGGGCACTTAACAAGTGGTGTCTCACCTTAGTTTCATAAACCCTCCGGAGGCTGGTGTCATCACCCCCATTTCATGGGTGGGAAAACGGAGGTGCAGAGAAGCATACACACCGGAGGCGCCCCCCCGCCCCCAGCTAACACGTGGCAGGCCCTGGATTCCACCTCAGACGGTCTAGTTTGCAACCCACGCATGCTCTGTGTTGTGCTCTGTGGCATCTCCCGAGGGGCCCTGCCTGGGGGCAGGGCCAAGATCATGCAGGACCCTGTGGTGACAGGGCGTGTGGCCACTGCGTCTGGCTTTGACCATTCCCGAGCTGGGTGATCTTGGGCAGGGCATGTGCCCCGTCCGAGATTCAACCCCTCATGTATAACGTGGGGGGACGGGGCTGTTCCGCCACCCCTCCCTTCTCTGTGGCTGCCTTCTGCTGCCGTCCTGACTCCCCGGGAGGTGAGGGCTCCTTCTTCCTGCAAAAGCCCTTCAGAGCCCCCTGACTTGTCCCCAGCACCTACTGTAACTGTGCTCAGGAACAGTGGGCACTGACCCCACAGCCCAGGCATGGACTGGCTGTGAGGCTGTGAGCAGCAGACTTAGCCCTTCTGGGCCTCCGTTTCCTCATCTGTAATATGGGGCCACTAGGAATGCCTACCTCCTGGGGCTGTGGTGAGCACTGAGGAGAGAAAAGAGCAATGCCAGCCCCTGGTCAGGCTCCATGACGGTGCTGAGGCCACCATCTTTGTTACTACTGCTCACGTCAGAGGCGTTGATTTAATGTGTCCCTCTGCCATTAGGCTGGGGAGTGCCAGCAGGGCAGGGGCTGTCACAGGAAGGTTGGTACACAGTAGGTGAGCAATAAATAGTTGTCCAGTAAGTGAATGAAGTGATTTGGCTGGTCAAGGCCAAAGCTGGTACGGTTCCCCCTCCTCCAGCTGGAAACCAGAGGCACAGGGGTCTCCACTGACAGCTGTGGGGTGAGTGGCAGGCAAGTCGTTAGCGACCAGCGGACTCCTTGACCCCCGGAAGTCAGACAGTCTGAGGTCCCAGCTCTGCCACTTAACGCTCGGTGACCTTGGGCAGGTCACTTGTACTCTCGGGGTCTCGGCTGCCTGTCTGTACATTGGGGGTGGGGACGGGACCTCCCGGGGTGGCGGCAAGGATCAGTGAGTTCACTCACGGAGCCTGGCGCCCCAAGGGCTTGGTACCCTGGGGCCTGGTGTATCTGGCTCAGGCGGGGGCCCCCAGCACCGCCCCGCCCCACAGAGGACACGTCGGGCCCCGAGTCCCCACCAGACAACACCCAGCAACCACCCCCCCCACAGGCCCCATCCTCACGCGGAGCGCCCTGCTTGCCGGGAACAGCTGCTGAAATCCCATCTCCCCGACATCAAAAGCCTCAGTGGGTTTTCACCGAACAAACATAATGCAGAACCGGAGAAAGGTGTAAAATAAATAAACGAAACAAGCTGTGCGTTCTCTTTCAGTATCACAGCTGCACCCGGAGATAAACAACAAGTGAATGTCACCAAACATCAACACCCAAGAAATTAACTTGACAAAAAGCTCAGCCGTCCCCCAGCAACCCCCCAGTCCTGCCCCCGTCCCCCTCCCCACTCTGCAGCCACCATTTTGCATTTCTGGAGTTCCCATCTAATGATTTTATTTTTCAATTAATTCCTTGACAGAACGCCAGCCCGCATCTCTCTCCCGTCCCTGGCTGGCGCTGGCGCCCTGTGCACAAGGCACGGGCAGGCAGGCGGGCGGGGGGCTGTCGGGAGGACAGGGCAAAGCTTCAGGGCTGGTCGGGGAGGAGGGGATCCTGAAAGGAACCCTGAGAGGAAGCAGCTGTGACCGGCCGGGGCGGCCGGGCTCGGAGTTGATGGCGTTGCCGGCTGTAGCCAGGCTGCCCGGACCGGAGGCAAGCCTGCCGCCCCCCGGCTGAGCCACCTGGGGCCGAGGCCTCCCCTCTCTGTGCTCAGTCTTGGCAGTTACTGAAGAGCACCCAGCTCCTGGGGTCCCAAAGGGCGTTAGAAGGGCACAGATGAAGGCCTTTACAACAGCCCGGCACGCAGGAGCCGCGGGGGAAAGGTGACGCCCTTACT